CTTTTAATTAACTTTGGAGCACGTTTAGACAACTTTACACATGTTCTGTATGATTGATTTAAAGTCAAAAATTCAAGAGGAGAATGTAAACAGTAGAAAGTTATTTTGGACATAGAAGAACCTTTAATTTAGAATTAAATTCTTTGATTCAGATCACACATTAAGCAACCACATGATTACCATTTCTTGTCTGGGGTCTGCAGGTGTGCATTTCAGCTGGGATCCTGCAGCAGTGGAGCCCTCTTTTTAAGCTCAGGGGTTTTTGTACGGCTTCTCCCATTACTTCAAGCACTGTGAGTTCTCTGACTTATATGAGAGCTCCCTTAAAGTGCAAAAGTACTCTGCAGAGTCTTCCAGCTGTAAGGCTGAAATTGTGAGGCTGATGGATTTATATGCTTTCTGGAAGTTTACAGAGTAGCGGCCATTCCCTGCATTCCTGTGTTCTGAATGTTGATGAATAAGGAAAGTCATCTGTCCCCTAGGAAGCTGTTTGTACCAATAAATGGAGTAGTAGTATGTGAGCCAACTTATTTGATACTGACAGTTCAAAATGACTGACTGCCCCACTTGCCGGATTATGTCTGACTGGTCTTGAGTAACTTTCTGGGCCACACAAGATCCTGTGGAAAATGTGAGAAAACAGAGCTGAAATAGTGAACAAAATAATGCAGAAATTAATTTTGGACTGACTCAAATATTTACAACGCAAATTGAAATCATAAGATGCATGCTTTTCTCCAGTCCTCATTTCCTCCCCAAATCTCTGTGAAGTGCCACGTGGCTGTGTGCAGTCCTTTCACCCTGAACACTGGCACCCATGTTCAGAAGCATCCCTACCAGTGATGATGAAGGCCAGGAACACCCAGAGCAGACTGGAGAGCGACATGAGGCATGGATTCTGTGCATAAATGTGTTTAATTCTGCCTCAAGCTAAGAATTCAGCATCTTTAAGTGCCTGACAGCACATATACATAGTACCTGGCTCCTGTGTGACTCCTCCCCCATACAGGAAGTGGGGTTTGTCGTATTCATAGACCAGCTTGTCTCTGCCCAGATGGGAAAAAGTCTGGCTCACTACAAACCTTTACTTTGTCTACTTTTCTTTTCCTGGTCATTAAGTTTGGCAGATCCTGAAAAGAGGCATGAAGAAAGCAATTAATATTAAAGGTTTTAACTGAGGGAAACTGAAAGTTAAACAAGTTGACATACATTGGTAATTATTCAGTAAAATAATTTTGCCATCCTGTTTGGATATAATTTAGTATAGCCTATGAAACATTCTTGTAATCTACTGGTTGGTCATTCATTTAGCCTATACTTACTTTTCTCCATCCAGAATCCAGTGACTATTGTAAAACTTTCACAGATCTTAGGCCTTCTGGGTGAAAAGCAATTTTATTCAAAGTAATTAATGTATCTCATCTTTTTTTTTTTAAACTGAGTTCCAGTACTCTACTTAGAATTTCAATGACTAAAACTGCATCAACATGAAATGATTTAAAAAAATCAGTCCATCTGAATTTCAGAGTCTATTCAGTGGTATATATTTAAATGAAATTATAACTGGAATAAAATATTACTCTTTTGAAACTTTATATTGAGTCTTATGTATTAGACTTTGATGGCAATCAGGTTATTCAATCTTGTCCCCTCTAAATGTAGAATTGTACTTATTAGATCATGCATACTAGAATCATCCAAATGTCAGATTTTCTGTCTCATTGATCCAGAGCATTCAGTCTCACTTCTCAGTCACTCATTATTATTTCTCTTTGTAAAATAAAGCTAAGATAAACATGCTAGATCTTTCTCTGATGTACTGCTATAATGTGCTCTACAATACCTAATATCTACAGACTGCAGACACTTAGTACTTGTCAGTAACACAGAAGTTGGTGACTGAAGTTCTGTGCACTGTTTCATGTCCATGTGGAATGTAGTTTTCAATCTTCCATTTGGTTTCATTGTTGTAATGGAAGAATTAATATAAAAGAATGAAAGGCAAATAGACAAGTAAAAAAGAAAAATACAGACAAGGTCTAAAACAGTGCCAATTCATGGAATTTAAGATCAAAATGACTCAAAGGAGTGAAGCAGGGAGGTGAGTTTGTTATTTATCTGAGACAGCTACTCTTCCATCCCATTTCACTTCTGAGTGCTGGCAGGTAACTAATGCCTGGGTTTGAAATTATTTGTAACTAAGCAGAGGAGATCATGAATGACTGCATCAGCCTGTGCAGCAGCATGATATTATAAAATACAGATATATATTCATATAAGAAGAGCATATATATTAGAAAATTGATATTGATAACATTTTTATCAAAATTGATTTTATCAATATCAAAATATAAGACGATAATCTTAAACATCAGGTTTTACATGTGCTCTTTGGTTTTGATATGAAGCTCTATGAAGTTTTATCACATATATAGGTTCTTGTACCACCACAAAAATCATGACATATCTCTCTAAAGAAACCCTCTTTGCATACCCTCCCTATCCCTGCAACTCTTTATAACCCCAGTAACTACTAATCTCCTTTTTAGCTCTATATTTTGATCTTTTGAGAATGTTGTATAAGTAGAATCACACCATATATACAATCATAATAATCCAACAAGTGTAAACATACACCATGTAGCCTCTGAGATTGATTTTTCTTTCATTCAGCATAACATCCTGAGATCCATCTTGGCCATTGTTGTTTAGTCACTAAGTCAAGTCGTACTGTCTTTAGACCCCATGTACTGCAGACTGCCAGGCTCCTCTGTTCTTGGAATTTTCCAGGGAAGAATACTGGAGGGAGTTGTCATTTCCTTCTCTAGGGGATCTTCCTGACCCAGGCATCAAACTTGGGTCTCCTGCGTTGCAGGCAGATTCTTTACCACTGACCCACCTAGGAATCCCCATCTAGGCTGTTGCAAGTATCAATAGTCTGTTTCTTTTAATCACTATAGACTCACCAACTTATGATGTTTTGACATCGGATTTTTGACTTTACAGTGGTAAGGAAGTGATACACATTCAGTAGTAACGATACTTTGAATTTTTAAATTTGATCTTTTCCCATGCTAACAAGATGTGGTGCAATATTCTCTGGTGATTCTGGGCAGCAGCAGGGACCTGAGCTCCTGGCTGGCCCTGAGATCATGATGGTAAGCAACCAATCCACTTACATTCATTCTGTACTCATACAATCATTCTGTTTTTCACTTTCTGTGTATATGTGCTCAATCACTGCAGTCATGTCGGACTCTTTGCAACCCTATGGACTGAAGCCCAGCGGGCTCCTCTGTCCATGAAATTCCCCAGGCAAGAATACTGGAGTGATCTCCCGTGTCCTCCTCCAGGGCATTTTCCTGATCCAGGGATTGAACCCGAGTCTGCTATGTTACCTGCATTGGCTGGCCAGTTCTTTACCATGAGTGCCGCCTGGGAAGCCCTACTTTCAGTTCAGCTCAGTTCAGTCACTCAGTAATATCCAACTCTTTGCGACCCCATGGACTGCAGCACGCCAATTTCAGTACAATACTCAATGAATTGCATGAGATTTTCAACATTTTGGTATAAAATAGATTTTGTATTAGATGATTTCTTCCAACTGTACACTAATGTAAATGTTGAGCACCTTTAAGTTAGGCTGGGTTAGGAATATGGACGTTTGTCGGTACACAGTATAGGACAAAGGTCCATCTAGTCAAAGGTATGGTTTTTCCATCAGTCATGTATTGATGTGAGAGTTGGACCATAAAGCTGAGTGCAGAAGAATGGATACTTTTGAACTGTGGTGTTGGAGAAGACTCTTGAGAGTCCCTTGGACAGAAAGGAGATCAAAGCAGTCAATCCTAAAAGAAATGAACCCTGAATAGTCATTGGAAGGACTGATGATGATACTGAAGTTATAATACTTTGGCCACCTGATGCAAAGAACTGACTCATTGGAAAAGACCCTGATGCTGGGAAAGAGTAAAGGCAGAAAAAAGGGACAACAGAGGATGAGATGGTTGGATGGCATCACCAACTTGATGGACATGAGTTTGAGCAGGTTCAGGGATTTGGTGATGGACAGGGAAAACTGGTGTGCTGCAGTCCATGGTTACAGAGAGTCAGACACGACTGAGCAACAGAACTGAACTGAACTGAACTGATGGTTCATTTTGAGACTGTACACCACAAATTTTTGTATAAGATGTGATGTTTAGGCCAAGTTTCAATTATTCCCCAAGAATATCCAATTGTCCCAACCTCATTTGCTCATGAGACTATGTCACCTCTGTTGAATTGTCTTTGCACTTTTTCAAAATATAAGTTTTCCCAACCTGTGTAGGTCTACCCCTATACATTTACAAAGTGACATAAACTTGTTAATGATATTCATTCATTACCCTTAGAACATTATAGAACCTGCAGAATAGTTTTCTTTTTTATTATTAATATTTATACTTTGTATCTTTCCTTTTATCCATGGATAATTCTACCTAGGAATATATCAATTTTATTAATCTTTTTAACAAAGTTAATTTTGTATTTCATAGTTATATCCATAATATTCTTGTATTTCACCAATCCAACATTTTATTATTTACTTCTTTCAGTTTATGTGGAGTTTAATTTGTTTTTCCATCATCTTTTGCTGCAAGTCTTGATAATAATTTTTCACCTTTTTTTCATTAGTAATATAACTGTTTAAAAAGATAAACTTCCTTCTATGTATTATTTTTACCTTCACCTCATACATGTTTATATCATGTGCTCTCACAGTATTTACTTTCAAAATATTTTCTAAAGTCATTGTAATTGTTTCTTTAATCCATGGTTATTTTTAAGTTAGTGCATGTATTCCAAATGTTTGGGAGTTCTTAGCGGCATCTTTTAACAATTGATTTTCTGTATCAATTCCATTTTGATGAAAGAATAAATTCTGTATAATTTCAGTTTTCTTAAATATATTAAGACTTTTTATGCTCAAACAAACTGTAGGTGTGTATTTCATCTACTCAGCAGGGTGTGTCTGGAGCCTCAGCTGCAGGTTTGGGTACAGGCTGCAGGTGCCCGGGGAGCACCGTGCACTTGCTGCACAGAAGTATGTGGCTGAGTCTCCAGGCTGGGAAGTTGCGATGTGCAATGAGAGCTGTTTGGCACTTTTATTGAGGAAAACGGTGAATCTTCCATCTTCCATTTTATTCACAGCTGAACGTATGTCTATCAAGAATGCAAGGTCTTTACCAGGATATTGTCGGTACCACGGGAAGTAGTCAAACCAACTGTTCTCATAATTACAGTTCAGAATGGAAATCTCTCCTTCCTGGACTGTCAAAGATTGAGGGGTCTGTTTCACCTGCTGTTGGTCAATTTTTTCCTTCTGTTGTCCATTCACCCCTGCTTAAAGAGATAAAAGCCATTAGTTCCATAAAACGTATTTCTTGTTTAAAGTTTCTATCTGCATGGACTTGTTTGTAATCCAATTTTCTCAGTCCCCCTAATTAATGAAATTAGGGAAGAATTTCATTAGGGGAGAATTTCATAGGGAACAACTTACAGACTAGCTGAAGCCACAGAAACAAAAATGATGCCCCCAGTATCTTGTCCATTGTTTCTGGCATCAGTGCTCAGTGGCAACTCCAGTTCCTCTTCTGCGCTTCTCAGCCAGCTAGAACTCTGACTTTAAGTTCACACCTGCTTTTATTCTTTCAGTAGGTCCCACCGTCTCACAATTGCTTTCACTTAAACCTCTCTCTCTCAAAAGTACTAGTTCTCATTCAGTGCTAATTTAGAATCACCAAACATCAAATTAATTGGGACTCAGAAATGCACTCCCCCAACTTAAATGGATAAAGAGTATGTTAGAATTTCTCCCACACTATCTCCTTCTTTTCCTTACACCTCCTAGAAGTTTAAAAATCATATATCAGGACAACTTGATGTGTTAATAGGGAATAATGTTATATTACAAAGGGGAAGAAGTCACAAGATTAGTATGTAGGGGGTATTTCTTTCTCTCTCTCTCTCTCTCTTATTTTTTGCAAACTACTTAAAGTGTATTGAGAATACACAAGGGGCAAAATATGTCGTAACTAGCTAAATTTCGCTGGTGGCTTCCCTGGCAGCTCAGACGGTAAAGAATCTGCCTGCCAAGCAGGAGACCAGGGTTTGTTCCCTAGGTCAGGAAGATCCCCTGGAGAAAGAAACGGCAATCCACCCCAGTATTCTTGCCTGGAGAATCCCACGGACAGAGGGAGCCTGGCAGGGTCCCAATGTCAGAAACTACTGAGTGACTAAAACTTTCACTTTCACAAGCTAAGCTTATGGATTAGAAATTAAAGAATAAATAATCTTTTTGCCCTGGTGGAACTTAAATTTTAACACTATCATTCAGATGTTTCCACACTTTACACGACCTTAAGAAAAAAAAAGATAAATAAATTTCAATTTATATTTCTTCTAAAATATAAATCAGGCAAATAAAGTATTTCCAATAGTAGGTATGGAGAAAATAAATTGAGAAGCACTGGAATAATCTAGTCTGGAGGACCTTTGATCTCCAAAGGATAAAATTTACTACAAAAATTCTGCAGAATTCAGAAGATATGGGACCATGATCATTCAGAAACATTTTTGGTAGTTCTCATCCTGAGTTACATCTTAACCTCACAGGTAAAACACAAAACTGAAGAATCAGTTTGGCTTTTGAGGTCAGCACATCAGGGTATAGAGACGGAAATCAAGGAGCGCCTCCTCCAGCACAGCGGGTGAGAAAGACCTGAAACGGGGCCGAGAGCCTAATGGAAAGACACATATAATTTGGCAAATGGGGAGTCAGGGGGCCCTCCGGCTCTCCATGGCAGAAAGACAAAATGGCTTCTTTCAGCCCGCACTTTTATTGGCAGAAGACACATGAGATCATGAGGGAAGTTATACTGGAGAGTTTGATTAGCACACCATAGAGAGGGAGTAAAGTTAAGGCTCTGCTGTTGATCAGGAACATCTTGTTTTGTTTCCAAGGGGACGGAGGCAGGTGTAGGCAGTGAAGCGGAGCAGGGAGCAAGTCCACCCAAGAATGTCCCTTTGGCATGCTTACTAGGACAATCACGAGGGCGCAGTTTGCCGCACCCTCCAGTCATGGGGTAGGTTCTGGTCTCTGCTCCGCCAGGCTGCAACAAAGGAGCTCATATTTTTTTTTTTTTTCTCACGTCAGAAAGGTAATGTGCCGATGTCGTAACAAGGTTTGGAGGGAGGCACATTTCACAGAGAAGAGTTTGTGGTCTGCATTGATGTGATCTCAGATACTATCAAAGAAAAACATCTTCACAGTTCAACACGAAACAATGATAACCATTCCCACTCCTCAATCTAATCCCATCTACTCCAGCCCTCTAAGGGGATTTTTTATTGTTTGTTAAATTTTGGTGTGTTTTCTTTTTTATTCATTTTTTTTGTTAACACATGTCTTCAGTATTTATTTACTAGTGATACTAAGTGCCTACTAAATGGTCATACTTGGGTCTCATTTAAGAAAGAGACAGAAATAACAATCTTCAGTTAACCCATTCCCAATACTCAAGTACATTTACATAAAAGCTACTATAGAGAAATGTGTTTTTATATGATGCACCCAAGAAAATGATAATGGACTCACTTCTGGGCTCAGTCAGAGAGTAGTTCTGATGGAGGAGCTGCTTGAACTGAAACTTACACCACAGCTAGATTTCTTAGTAAAGAATGGGGTAAGGGAATTCTGGCACTGATTAACTCAGTATGATTGGAGTTTGGGATGTATCTGGGTGAAAACATTATAAATTTATATTAGAGAAACTAATGTAGCCTTAATCTTAAAGGACAACATATATTATTTACAGAGATATTAACTTTCAAAGTCATACTTTTCAAACAGACAAATACACACAGATACTATTTAGGAAGATAGATGGATACATACATACATACAGACAAGAATGATAGATGTAAATTACACCAAAGTTGGAGATAAAAATTTGATAGATATTTAAAGGAGGCTATCTGGCTCCTTGAAGAATCTGTGTATGTGGGACAAAAGTTAATCTTCTCTGAAGCAGCGTTGCCCCTCTGTGGCCATACATGGGGAAAAGACAAGTTTCTTCAGTAAGTGGTGTTGACCATACTGAACACCTACAAAGATAAGACCAAAACTAGAACATTTTCTCACAACATATAAAAATATAAACTCAAAATGGATTAAAGACTGAAATGTAAGACCTGAAACATTAAAACTCATAAAAGAAAATATAGACAGTATGTTCACTGACATTCCTCTTTGCAATATTTTTTTCTGTCTCAAAGGCAAGGGCAACAAAAACAAAAATAAATAAACGGGACCTAATCAAACTAAAATCTAATGCACAACAAAGAAACCATCAACAAAAATAAAAGGCAAACTACTGAATGAGAGTAGATATTTATAATAAGGGGTTTATATCCAAAATACATAAAGACTTCGTATACCTCAGTATCAAAAACACAGTCTGATTGGAAAATGAGCATAGGACCTGAGTAGCCATTTTTCCAAAGAGATAGCCAACAGATACATGAAAAGATGACCAAAGGCTCTAATATTCAGAAAAAGAGCAAATCTATGTCAAAATGAGGTGTCACCTCAAATCTATCAGTATGGCTATCATCAAAAGAAAAAAAAAATAGCAAATGTGGTGAGGACGCAGAGGAAAGGAAAACCTAGTGCACTGCTGCTGGGTTGTATATTGCTGCAGCTACTATGGAAAACATTATGGAGATTCCTCTTAAAACACTAAAAATATAACTACCATATAATCCAGCAATTCCACTCCTGGGTATTTATCCAAAGAAAATAAAAATTCTTTAAAACTGTATCTGCACCCAAATGTTATAAGCAACATTATTTACAATAACCAAGATCCAAAACCAAGCTAAGTGTTCATTCATAGATGAATGGACAGAGAAAATACTGATCTTTCATCTAACTATCTATCTATACACACACAGACACCCCCAACAATGGAACATGAATTACATATGCAAAAAGAATGTAATTGTGCCAAATGGAACAACATGGATAGATATGGAGTGTATTAAACTTAGTGAAATAAGTCAGACAGAGAAAGACAAATACTGTGTGTTTTTACTTATATGCGATATACAAAAGCGAAGCAAAACAAAGGAAAAAATAAAACAAAAACAGAATCACAGGAACAAATGGCAGACTGCCAGGTATTTCCCCATAAAAGATGAGTTTATTGGAGATCACCAAAGGACTGCTGTTCTGGATCAGCAACCATGAGGAGCCACATGCAAGTTCCCACTGGACAAGAAAAGGAAATGCTTTTATAGGGAAGACACGGAAATTGGGAGGGTGACAATAAACAGAGTGCCCTTGACTTTGCATCAACTGCGTCCTGACTGGGGAAGAAGGGGCTTCTTTCATCTTCCTTTTGCCCTCTGTGATGTCCACAGGTTGGGACAGCTCCCCCTCTTCTGCCAGCTCTATTTAATTGAGATCTCTCTGCATTAAATTTTTATACCTTATAGGACAGAGTCAGAGAGATATTTGACTCCATAAGAGGAGGGAGCCATGGTGGTGGAAGTAAGATGTTGGAGTGATTCAAGAAGGGGTCTTGAGCCATGGAATCCAAGTGGCTTCCAAAAGCTACAAAAGGAAAGAAACAGATTCTTCCTCAGAGAATCTGGAAGGAATGAACCCTGCCAAGACCTTGACTGTAGACAGCAAAATGGATTTTAGATTTCTTGCCTCCAGAACTGTAAGAAATATTTTGTAAGTGATCAAGTTAATACTAAACATTGAGCAAATATTTTTTGTTCACTTTGCTGCACTCATAGGATGTTATACCAGTGCTTGCCGTTGCCTGTTGGGATACATCATAGTGAGACAGACCTGAACATTCTTGAGACACCCAACCAAGCTGGATAATATCTTTACTGGAGAGATTTCTCTCTTCTTTTAGTTGCTTTCAATGTTTACTGTTTTGGAGTCCGGCTTACTGTGGGAAATACTTATTTTAATTATGTCATCTTATCAGCTATTCTTTTAGTTACAAGTTAGAGATTCTAGTGTAGAAGGAGGTACAGATTGAGAAGGGAAAAGACCAAATCCCAAATCTGTAGGGCTAAAAGGTGTTTGTGGTTATAACTATACCAATGTAGGTAAGAAATACTAAGTACTGCAAATGCCCTGTGGTGGCCTCATAATGTGACTGTGGCTGGAGGAAGGGCTAAGCCCTGAAAAGGGTTTGAGTACAGACTGCAGGTGCCTGGGGAACACTGTGCTGCCCAACACAAGTAATTGCCTGAGTCTGTGTTCTGCAAAGAGGAAATGTGCAGTAAGCTATGGCATTCTATAGGGGCTATGGTGGCCTTTAATCTTCCATCCTGTTTTGTCCCTGAAGGATTGTAAACCAGGTGGATGAGGTAGCCCCCGAAGTTCTTAAGATACCACTTCACACTCTGTGGGGAAGTGTGGAGTTGGCTCCCTCCTGGAGACTCAGGACTGGGAGACTCTGCTTCACATCCACCCCTCGCACACCTGATGAGGAAAGAGAAACAGTCACTGATGAGGGTTACTGTA